GGCAGTGGGAGGCTGCTCCTTCCTTCTTCCTCCTTGGCGGTGAGCCCACCCCTGCCAGGGGTTATCAGCTGCTCGGCCAAGCGCGGCAGGGACCCGGCAGCAAACGGGTGGGGTGGATGGGGGTGCAGGGCCCCAGGGCTGACTCACCCCTCCCAGAGATGCTGGGGACCCCTATCCCCGCTTGCCATCCCAGGGCCTTTGGCCCAGGTGACTTTGCAGCCCATCGGGTGCTCCCCAGGGGTTGGGGACCCCAACCTTGGGGTGTTAACCATGGGGTCACCCTGGGAAGGGCCTTAAAACCTCCTGTGGCAAAATGGGTGTCCCCCAGCATTAGCGGGTCCCCAGGACTGGGACGTGGCCACCTCCACGGTGGGCTGCGAGGACGCGGAGCCATCAGTGCCCCAGGCAGGGCACGTGGTGCCCTCGTCCACCCCCGCCCAGGGGAGTGCTCACTGACGGAGCCACCCCCGTTGCGTCGCTCCCCTGGGACAGGGAGAGCCGCAGCTCTGTCCCTGCCGCCAAGAAAGTGCCATGGGGTGCTGGGGCCAGTGGCTGCTCTGGAGCTGGGTTCTGTGGGGGCTCTGGGTGCTGCCAGGTAAGTGCCGGGGTCACCCGCACTGCTGCTGGTCTGACTGGGTGGCTAATGCCGTCTGGGTGGTGGGCTGTGAACAACTCTCCGGCTGCTCGAACGCTGCAAGTTCGAACCCGAGTGCCCGGCCAGGGTTTGCCCCTGTCTCTGCCCACTGGTGCCACAGCCTCAGCACGGTCCCCTGACCGTGGCAGGGGAAGGGGGGGTTTGTGGGTCAAATGGGGATTCTCGCCCATGAGGAAGGTGCCCTGTCTTGCTCTCAGCATTGGTCCGGCCGCCTGTGCTGGGGTGGGGACGAGCCCTGAGGGCAACGTGTGGCTTGGGGGCACCTTCCTCCTGCAGCAGGGAGGAGGGATGGGGATGATGGGGACTGTGGGCTGGTTTTTTTTTTTTCCCCTGTCCTGCCCTCACCAACCTGCTCTGCTGCCAGGACAAGCTGGGGAGACGGCGGAACAAA